TGCCCCAAGCCCCCAGCTCGTTGGTTTCGGGGGCGGCCGTTCTTGGCAGCTGCCTCCGCAGCCTCAAACCTTGCTTCCCCCCCCCCATCCTCTCCGAGACTTTTCCCCTCACCAGATAAACAGTTGTACATCCCTCCCCTCCGCCTCCCTCCCACCACCACTCAGCCCTTCCCAACCCCCCCCAACCTCCTTTCCCAGTCTCCGAGCAGACAATGCTGGTATTGAGCCTCCCCGCAGTGTGAATGCTCGGCCTGTCCTCCCCCAGCGCCCGCAGCTGAGCCCCCCCAGCCCCATCGCTGCCCACCCGGGAACCGGCTCCCACAGCCCACATACCATCACCGGCGCAAGGGGAGGGAGATTAAATTAATGGAGAGGAATAAGCCGTGGGTTTTACTGCTGACGCCTGCCTGCCATTCCCCCCCACAGCCCGCTCTCCCTCTGCCTGCAGGAGGGATGGGGAGAGCTGCTCCTAGGGATGTTGCACTAGCGTAACCCTTCTGTGGCCAAAGCACGGTGGGGCTGGAAGGGGGGGTGAAGAAAAGAGGGAAAGAGTGGTTTTTAGGGGGGTCCAGAGAGTGGCTGTCCTGAGAGTGCGGTCACAGCGCTGCTGCGTGTGTGTGTAGAAGGGGAAAATACAGCTCTTGTATGGTGCCTGCTTCCCCTCTGCTCCTGGAGCCTCACGGGGATGTGGTGGACCCAAATTGGACCATCATGCCACATGGGATAAGATCTAAGGTCCCTCTAACCCTGCGTCCTGTCTCCCAGCACAGCCTAAAGCCGCTGCCTAGGGCAGAGCACAAGCAACAAGGCAAGCAGTGGTACTGCCCCGGGGCACTTCGCTAATTCCCAGTGATTTGTGGCTAAGGCATGTCCCCAGCCAGTGGCACTCGCTTTGTAGTTAATGGCCCTCGACTGATTCCCCCTCCAGGAATGCATCCAGTTGCTTTCTGAACCCCTAGAAACTGGCCCTTGCAGCCTTGGTATGGAAAGGCCACGCTGCCTATGGGTACTTAAACAATCCCTGTATGTGTTAAAGGCCCACAAATTAAGGGCAAAGGTCATGACACCACTGCTCCAGTGCCACGCATGCAGCAGGGAAAGAGATAAGAGCTTTGTATTCAAACCAAGGAGTGAGCCCATCCAGACATTTCCCCTGCAGGAGACTTGGGCACAGATGGCACCGGAGAGGGGAAGCAAGAAGAAGGAGCTAAGGGGTTAATCCACACACTGGATATTCCCAAACTACTCTGGAGAGACATTTCACCTGACAAGGCTATTGCTCTGAAGAAGACCATGCTGCTGATAGATTAGCCACCACCACTCCAGGGCAATGGACAGCACAAGGAACAGAGAGATGCCATCAGGCTGCTGGCATCCCAGAAGATGGGCATTACCAAGAGGAAACCTCTGCAGTGTTATGATAGAGTTTGAGTACAGCTAAAAGACCTGTCCCATATGAAGTTACCGCGATAGAAACGCACCCCTCTTGCAAGGCAGCGTGTTGCACGGATCCTTTTTACGTATGTTTCATCCAGATCTAGTAAGAGCTATTGTATGTTAATTAAATGCCAGTGGAGTAAGGAAAACATATTTGTCGAAGATTAACTATTATGCAATGCAAGAAGCATCTGCCACCCAACTGCTAGAGCTCACTAAATATTTCCTTATCTCAGAGTATTTACTTAGGAGGCAATAACTATCCAGTTAAATCTAAATGTAATGCTTAGTTAAATATAGTTCATGGAAAGTGGCACCAATATATTTTATACGGAGAACGACAGAGGGGGTTTCAGGGAGGGAGAAGGAAGGAATCCTGTCCCCAGACTCCAGTAACATCCTGACTCAGGGTGGGACTGCACCTGGCCGTGCCTCCCTACAAAGTGGGACATGTCACAGCAAACTTGAGGGCTCCTCTCTGCTGAGATGGAAGTATAGGGGAAGTCTTCATCTTCTTACGCATTTATACAATCCTCATTAGAACCACTGTAGCATATCTATTTAATAATAATCATCATAATAAACAGAGAGACGAGGAAGAAATTCCCTTGAGGGTCTCGTAAACCTTGGGAAAAACAAAGCAAAAACAAAACCTAAAGCTGATAGGGTCTTATTTGCTTTTAGAAGCGTACAGAAGCAAAAGGAAGAGGTTGCCTGGGTATAAAAGGCCAAACAAGCAGGAATCACACAAATCCTAGGAGAGAGCCTCACGAGTAAAATAAATAATGTTATTTTTGTATGTGTTCCCAGAAGAAAGAACTCTCTGGACCCATCTCCCCCTGCTGGAAGCAGATAACGAAACAGCAGGTCTGCTTTCTAACTTTTCTACCTTCTTAAAACTTGAGGAAAAATTCAGGTAAACAATCAGAGCATGGACACCACAAATCCGTAGTGCCATCTTTTAATGCCATTTACCAACATTCCTGGTAGATGCAGGACTGGCAGGGTGTGTAGTCACTTATGCCGTTCAGGAACGGATGGGGCAGCCCGAGCCCAGCCCTGCAGGTGCCACATCACCCTCCTCCAACGCAAAACACTTACAACCTGTTCAAAGGGAACATGGCCTAGAGCTACAGCCTTTGATGAGCGCGGGCTGTACAGCACCGCCAAAGACATGACAGAAATGCTTGGATGACAGGTGTAGGAAGGTGTTTCCACGCGATGGGTGCAGGATGGCTCTGTGTGTAAGCTGGAAGGAAAACAGCATGAGCAGACACAGCCTTACTCTCCCTGGCTTTGAGGGAAACGTGATGAAGACATCACAGCCTGGGCACCTCAGCTGGCCAAACGAGACACAGAATCACAGAATCTTCTAGGTTGGAAGGGACCTCAAAGATCATCTTGTCCAACCATCAACCTAACTAACAAAAATAGACACCCACACAACAAACAAGGAGCATCATCACTAAACCATATCTCCCAGCACCACATCAACCCGTCTTTTGAACACCTCCAGGGATGGTGTCTCAACCACCTCCCTGGGCAGCCCATTCCAATGGCTGATAACCCTTTCAGTGAAAAAATTTTTCCTAATATCCAGCCTGAACCTCCCCTGGCCCTGGGTAGGCATTCTCTGCTGAGATACGCAGTCCTGAGATCCTCTGGGACTGGTATTTAGGTCACCTCTGCCTACCTGTGTGGCAGCTCAGTTTTACAGATATTCAGGGACTGACATTGTGAAACCCTGAAGTGCCATCTGCTTTTCACGGAGAGCCAACAGACACTGCAAGCATGGACTCTGGCCACAAGCAGGGGGATGGGCATTTTTTTTTGCATTTGAGGTGGCTGAAAGCAAAGAGCAATCCATGGAAACTTCACACAACGCCAACTGCAACAGCCATCTGTATGATGTGGATGGCTGCCCTCTAGGACCTGAAATGAGGCTCAT